ATGAGAGCCAGAGAAATAAAATGTCAAATTTCACAAAATGACACCTTACACGTGAAATTTTCAGAACTTTACCTGGGTGTATGGGAATATATTAGGTGTATGGGGATGTATAGGGATGTATGGTGTTGTATAGGGGTGTATGGTGATGTATAGGGGTGTATGGGAATGTATAGGGGTGTATGGGGATGTATATGAGTATATAGTGTTGTATACGGGTATATGGCGATGTAAAGGGGTGTATGGTGATTTATGGGGGTGTATGGTGTTGCATATGGGTATATGGTGATGTGCTGGGGTGTATGGTGATGTATAGGAGTACATGGTGTTGTATATGGGTATATGGTGTTGTATAGGGGTATATGGCGATGTACAGGGGTGTATGGTGATGTATAGGGGTGTATGGTGATGTAAAGGAGTATATGGTGTTGTATATGGGTATATGGTGATGTGCTGGGGTGTATGGTGATGTATAGGAGTACATGGTGTTGTATATGGGTATATGGTGTTGTATAGGGGTATATGGCGATGTACAGGGGTGTATGGTGATGTATAGGGGTGTATGGTGATGTATAGGAGTATATGGTGTTGTATATGGGTATATGGTGTTGTATAGGGGTGTATGGTGTTGTATAGGGATATATGGTGATGTATAGGGATGTATGGTGATGTGCTGGGGTGTATGGTGATGTATAGGAGTACATGGTGTTGTATATGGGTATATGGTGTTGTATAGGGGTATATAGTGTTGTATAGGGGTATATGGCGATGTATAGGGGTGTGTGGTGATGTATAGGGGTGTATGGTGTTGTATATGGGTATATGGTGTTGTATATGGGTATATGGCGATGTAAAGGGGTGTATGGTGATGTATGGGGGTATATGGTGTTGTATATGGGTATATGGTGTTGTATATGGGTATATGGTGTTGTATAGGGGTATATGGTGTTGTATAGGGGTGTATAGTGTTGTATATGGGTATATGGTGTTGTATAGGGGTATACGGTGTTGTATAGGGTGTGTATAGTGTTGTATATGGGTATATGGTGTTGTATAGGGGTATATGGTGTTGTATATGGGTATATGGTGATGTGCTGGGGTGTATGGTGATGTATAGGAGTACATGGTGTTGTATATGGGTATATGGTGTTGTATAGGGGTATATGGCGATGTACAGGGGTGTATGGTGATGTATAGGGGTGTATGGTGATGTAAAGGAGTATATGGTGTTGTATATGGGTATATGGTGATGTGCTGGGGTGTATGGTGATGTATAGGAGTACATGGTGTTGTATATGGGTATATGGTGTTGTATAGGGGTATATGGCGATGTACAGGGGTGTATGGTGATGTATAGGGGTGTATGGTGATGTAAAGGAGTATATGGTGTTGTATATGGGTATATGGTGATGTGCTGGGGTGTATGGTGATGTATAGGAGTACATGGTGTTGTATATGGGTATATGGTGTTGTATAGGGGTATATGGCGATGTACAGGGGTGTATGGTGATGTATAGGGGTGTATGGTGATGTAAAGGAGTATATGGTGTTGTATATGGGTATATGGTGATGTGCTGGGGTGTATGGTGATGTATAGGAGTACATGGTGTTGTATATGGGTATATGGTGTTGTATAGGGGTATATGGCGATGTACAGGGGTGTATGGTGATGTATGGGGGTATATGGTGTTGTATATGGGTATATGGTGTTGTATATGGGTATATGGTGTTGTATAGGGGTATATGGTGTTGTATAGGGGTGTATGGTGTTGTATATGGGTATATGGTGTTGTATATGGGTATATGGCGATGTAAAGGGGTGTATGGTGATGTATGGGGGTATATGGTGTTGTATATGGGTATATGGTGTTGTATATGGGTATATGGTGTTGTATAGGGGTATATGGTGTTGTATAGGGGTGTATAGTGTTGTATATGGGTATATGGTGTTGTATAGGGGTATATGGTGTTGTATAGGGTGTGTATAGTGTTGTATATGGGTATATGGTGTTGTATAGGGGTATATGGTGTTGTATATGGGTATATGGTGTTGTATATGGGTATATGGTGTTGTATATGGGTATATGGCGATGTAAAGGGGTGTATGGTGATGTATGGGGGTATATGGTGTTGTATAGGGATATATGGCGATGTAAAGGGGTGTATGGTGATGTATATGGGTATATGGTGTTGTATAGGGGTATATGGCAATGTATAGGGGTGTATTGTGTTGTATATGGGTATATGGTGTTGTATAGGGGTATATGGTGTTGTATATGGGTATATGGTGTTGTATAGGGATATATGGCGATGTAAAGGGGTGTATGGTGATGTATTGGGGTGTATGGTGTTCTATATAGGTATATGGTGTTGTATAGGGGTATATGGCGATGTAAAGGGGTGTATGGTGATGTATGGGGGTATATGGTGTTGTATAGGGGTATATGGCAATGTATAGGGGTGTATTGTGTTGTATATGGGTATATGGTGTTGTATAGGGGTATATGGTGTTCTATATGGGTATATGGTGTTGTATAGGGGTATATGGCGATGTAAAGGGGTGTATGGTGATGTATATGGGTATATGGTGTTGTATAGGGGTATATGGCAATGTAGAGGTGTGTATTGTGTTGTATATAGGTATATGGTGTTGTATAGGGGTATATGGTGTTGTATATGGGTATATGGTGTTGTATAGGGGTATATGGCGATGTAAAGGGGTGTATGGTGATGTATTGGGGTGTATGGTGTTCTATATGGGTATATGGTGTTGTATAGGGGTATATGGCGATGTAAAGGGGTGTATGGTGATATATGGGGGTGTATGGTGTTGTTTATGGGTATATGGTGTTGTATAGGGGTATATGGTGTGTAATAGGGGTATATAGGGGTATATGGTGTTGTATAGGGGTATAAAGGGGTATATGGTGTTGTATGGGGTATATAGGGGTATATGGTGTTGTATGGGGTATATAGGGGTATATGGCGTTGTATAGGGGTATATAGGGGTATATGGTGTTGTATAGGGGAGTATAGGGATATATGGTATTGTATAGGGGTATATAGGGGCATATAGTGTTGTATAGGGGTATATGGTGTGTAATAGGGGTATATAGGGGTATATGGTGTTGTATAGGGGTATATAGGGGTATATGGTGTTGTATGGGGTATATAGGGGTATATGGTGTTGTATGGGGTATATAGGGGTATATGGCGTTGTATAGGGGTATATAGGGGTATATGGTGTTGTATAGGGGTATATAGGGATATATGGTATTGTATAAGGGTATATAGGGGCATATAGTGTTGTATAGGGGTATATGGTGTGTAATAGGGGTATATAGGGGTATATGGTGTTGTATAGGGGTATATAGGGGTATATGGTGTTGTATAGGGGTATATAGGGATATATGGTATTGTATAAGGGTATATAGGGGCATATAGTGTTGTATAGGGGTATATGGTGTGTAATAGGGGTATATAGGGGTATATGGTGTTGTATAGGGGTATATAGGGATATATGGTATTGTGTAGGGGTATATAGGGGCATATAGTGTTGTATAGGGGTATATGGTGTGTAATAGGGGTATATAGGGGTATATGGTGTTGTGTATATAGGGGTATATGGTGTTGTATGGGGTATATAGGGGTATATGGTGTTGTATAGGGGTATAGGTGTTTATAGTGTAATAATAATAATATATAGTAAGATATAATAATTATGTTTAGGTACATCATAATAATCATATATGAAGTACCTACCATGAAAGGTACCGCTGACCGGTTCACATGTGGTTACACATGGCTACACATGGCTACACCTGTACCAACACGAGGAGCCCCCTGACCTGCACTTAGCCACACTTTGTCACACATAGCGACATATAACAACACATAGCTACACATAGCCACCCATAGCTACACACAGTCACACGTATCCACATAGCCTGCACCCATAGCTACACATGGCTACACATGGCTACACATAGCCACACTTCGCGCCACTTCGCCAGATATAACAACACATAGCCACCCATAGCTACACACTGAGCCCCACACATCCACACAGCCACCCATAGCTACACATAGCTACACATACCGTAAAATTCCGAAAATAAGCCCCTCCATGTATAAGCCCCTCCAAATATAAGCCCCTCAAAATTGTAACGCAAAAAACCCTCCGTTAAATCGCCCCTCCGAATATAAGCCCCCGGGGGGCTTGTACATGGAATTTGCCCTCGAATACAAAGTAAAACAAAGCAAAAATGGTAAATTTCCTTCCCACTACAAGCTAGCCCAATCGATTTTGAAACGCAAATTTCCCTCCGTACATAAGCCCCTCCGAATATAAGCCCCTCCAAAAATAAGCCCCTCAAAAAGGGCCTTTGAAAAATATAATCCCCGGGGCTTATTTTCGGAATTTTGCGGTAGCTAGACATAGCCACAAATTGTTTTTTGAATGTTCTCCTCCTCGCCATCATGGAGGCAGCTACAGTAGTTTGCGGCCATATACATTATTTAAATCCCTCGACTCGCATGATTATGTTAGAAGACTTTCTGGATCAGAATTCCACCAAGTTGAGTTAACTTAAAAAGTGGTCGCTAATTTCCCTTCGCTGCCCTTTTATAGCCATGGATCGATTCGTCACGTCTTTGTTTCCTGAGCGGCTATTTGTCATGATAAACAAACGCCGACAATACAACATGGTGCAAGTTGCTTCCCACTTCAATTAAGAAACAAAAATATGTACCGTAATTCTGTGTCAGGATACTGTTCCGTGCAACGGTTGCCGCATATTAACTTTCTCAAGTCGCCACCCACAATATAACTTTGGAATCGTTTGCATTGAAATTGTTTTCTTTTTTTAAATTTTATTCCACTGCAAATTGCCTTAGTCTTATTCTTTTTCAAGCTTGTAAATAGCATTAAACAGCGGAAATGAACACCCAAAATGATCAGAACGGCCCTATTTACCAGGCCCGAAAAAGGTGTCTAATGGTTGCGAGTTGGTTGTATTAATGCAATTATATTGTAGGTAGCTTTCTTCACTTCAATTCTGGGTCTGAATCCATAAACATTTATCTTTTGGCATTTCCAAATGTTGCAAAAGTTTTGACTGAGCCTGTAGTTTCTCTATTGCACGGTTTTAACGATGTGTGAATACTGAAAGGAGGTTGGGGGGGGGGGGGTATTGCCACATATGGCCTATAGGTATGTGCCGCTGTGAAGGGTAATGGTTTTCAAGCAGTTTGCTCTGGGACAGAGTATATAACAGAGCGTTTGGGTCTCGAATAGGGTATCATTTTCCAGGAAATTGATCAATTGGTTGAAGATTTTAGCCTAGACTAGGGAAACCGGGAATTGCCACTAAAAAATGTAAAAAAAATCAAATCGGCATCATATCTAGGATAAGGGGCGGGGGTTTTGAAGAGTTTAGTCCAGTATAGGGTAGCAAAATTCAGCTGAACTAGCTCTGGTGTAGGCTAAGGGGTCCAGGGTCCCAGTGGCACATCTCCACCCAAAAATTCCTAAAGTACTCCCCTCCCCGGGCCTAAAGGTTTTATTTATTTTGTTAACTGTGTATATATGGTTACTTCATTTAATTCTACTTCATGGTAAGAATAGCATCGCAAGCAAATGCCCATCAACGAAAAGCGACCTCCGAACCTCAAGAAAACTCGCGGAAAATACTGAAGACAAGACAGAAGGCCATGCTTGATATCCCAGCGAAACCACAGACTACAGTGAATACTTCACAAACAACCATTTCAACTACTGTTCTATCGTGCAACTGCAGAAAATATTGTCCAGCTGTTAACAGCACCAAACTAGAGGTAAGTTACCGCCGTTTGTTTTCGTATATGTTGATGCGCGAAGTTGTTTATTGAGGAAACGCTATATGAGTAGCAGTTGAGTTATTTCTTAGGTCAAAATGTAAGGCAAGACAAAAGAGTAAATAATCTCAACTTAGTCGCGAGTACGTTTCGCCATTTTGAAACGGTAGAGAAATCTTTATCTGAAAAAGTCAGTTCAGGGTTACAAAAAATTCTAGACCACGAGTGGTCGTCCTTCTTTCCTCGGAGCCACGCGCGGTGAGAGAAAAAGTAAAATTATGCGAATTAATTATTCTTTCTTTGCTTAACATGGGCTTCCGCCTTTGTTCCTCGCTGCTTCGCCACTTCCCCCCCCCCCTCTCCAACGCGTGTTCTCGATGTACTGTGTCTCACAAGAAAAATAAGAGACTTCTCGCAGTCGAAAAAAATCTATCAAGAATCATGGCTCTTTCATCCTTTACATTTGCTTCACTTTGCTTGTGGTAAAACCTCGTTCTTCCCTTTTTCTATTTAGAGTTTTTGTCTGACATTTTCTCAATTATTCATGAATGATATCAGTTTATTTGGGCCGATGGATGCACATCCTTAATTTATTGTCTAAGGTTAATTTGATTACCGTCTTTTAAAGCTTGTGTGGTTTGAAAACAACCCCATCTTCTGTAAGAAAAACTGGACAACTTGAAATCGAGAAGAGACCTTATTTAGCGTTCTGCTCCTTCGATCGTTGTCGGAAGTGCAACTTGCAGTACCATAACTGCGTGTTAAACCCAGCTGATAATCAAGCTCACTGCTTGATCCAGGCTTATGGTTGTGCGTCAAAATGCTTGACCGAACGTTCCATGAACATAACGATAGAGGGACTGGTGACATCAAGAATCTGACGACAAAAAATTTCAAATTAATGACTAAAATGCCGCGGTATGGTGAATGAAGAGAAGATCACCTGGAAGACGGTCGCGTAAAGAAACTGTATTTCTAAGAATAAAGAAAAATGCAAAACAGCTCGTTTTTTTTAAAGGTACTGTGGTACCTCTATTAAGCCCCCACCTCCCCCACCCGTAAGGGAAATTTTTCTCGAGGGTACTTATTACCCAGATACTACAGAGACAATGTTTTGTCAGGGATTTTAGGAGTTACCCTAACAAGAAAGTTTGACAACCTGCTATAGAAAATAGCATGACTGACTGAAATGTTTGAAGATCTTGAAAACGACATTGAAACTTTTTACTCTCAAGGATCGATTCTTCTCATGGGTGACTTTAATTCTAGAACAGGAAAATATTCGGATTGTGTAAGCCAAGAAGGAAACACCATTATTACCAATGATCAGTCCCATCTTTCTTCAGGCTCCACTCATAGAAATAGTTTTGACAACAACATTAACAATCACGGCAAACGCCTTCTTGAAATCTGCAGAAGCGCAGATCTTAGAATACTTAACGATAGAGTTAGTGGAGACTCCTTAGGAAGAGCCACATTTCATGGAAAGGCTGGAA